GGGGCCCCCCCCCCCCCCCCCATAGCCCCTGGTTAGGTGATTGGCCACAAGGGGACACTGGGTGGCCCCCTGACCCAGGAGGCACCAGTTGCTGTTGCAGGGGGTCCCCATGCATACTTCCTGGTGGACCCAGAAGTGGACCGGAAGTCTTCTGGTCCACTTTTGGGTCTGTTGCAGAGTGTGCTGGGGAACCCCCCACGCTCCTGTGGGACACTCCATCCGCCCCAGCATCTCAGCATTCGCAAGCCACCTGTTACCTTGAGGTACGTAGAAAAAACATTTAAAGCTGTGTCTATGTCCGAATCTCCAAAACTTTCTGAATCAATTTGGGGGGTTCTGATTCAATTCGGAGAGATTAAAGGGTTTCCTGATTTGATTCAGATTTGGAGATTTGGCCACCAAATCAGGCTGAATGTCCTTTGAATCAAATTGGGGACCGAAGCTTCGCATAGCCCTACCAGCAACCTATGGCCCACAGACTGGATCTGGCCTACAGAGCCATTTTATCTGGCCTGCAGAACCAGGAGCCAGCATTTCAGCAGTCAGGGCTTTTGTGGTGTTGGGGAGGAGGGAGAGAAGGGTCCTTCACCCATGTGGTGGGGAGAAATGGCAGTAGCAGCACTTGGCGGGGAGGGCTGGGAGTGGTGACTGTAGTTACAGCTCTGGCAGCAGCTTAAGCAGCAGTGATACAGGCCAGGTTGGAAGTAGCTTGTGCTTGGAGCTGTAAAATGTTGCCAGCCCCTACCCTAGATCAAATGTCTGCCCTTATCAGGCAGTTTAGGGTACTGTGAACAGAAGAGACTTAGGGCATTCAGTCCCAGAATATATTTCAGCATGGTGGCTGGTATATTGTCTTGAGAGGGGAAATATGTGGGCTCAGGTACCTTGAGGCAGAGGAAACTATACCTACATCTCCCACGTACTGAGTAAATGTTCACAGTTCACTGGGCTGTCACATAAAAGACATTACCACTTTTCTTCTTCCTGTTAACTTAGCCTTAGTTTTCTTTGATTTTCTTAGGAGTGCCCAGAAATAAATGTTTAATTCAGTACAATGCCCTGTTCTGCTTTTTGTTGTCAAGAAAAGTGAAACTAATTAAAATGTTTGGAGTTTGAAACATTTTTCTTGTTTGTTTAACTGTAGGAATGAAAAAAAATTGCATAACCATGCAAAAAAAGTAATTTTCTTTCCATTTTCTCATTGTTCTGTAAATTTTATGGTGACACTTCTTTGCGGTGTCCCTTCTATTGGATCAGAAATCTTTTTTTCCTATTTTTGTATTTCTATTGTTAACTTTTAAATCAGCTCCAATTAGTTTTTTACTTTCTACTTTTCTGGGTCCTTATCTGTTCTGGTCCAAGAGCTTAGAGCTATCCCTTTCTTACTGCAGTGGAGAAAAAGTTCATACTTTTCCATATCCCCATAACTTTTGCCCCCCAAAAGTACAAAAAAACTTATAGCTCAGTGTTTCTACCATGTTCATTATCATCCAGGTTTATACAGCTTATTTTGGAACAACAGTGAGCCAAGTCTCCATTCTGTTCCTCAGTCTGGACCAGTATTTTTTATGGCTTCATCCGTCACTTTTTTTTCTTTTCCTCAGTCACAGTGGAGCAGGCCAAATTGAGTGAACTACACTGAGTGAACTAAAATATGCTGCATCTGCTAGAAGCACCTCACAGGAAAGGCATAAGGGATGTTCTGCTTCAGCTATTTCCAAATTAAGAACCTTTGTCCAGGCAGAGAAGTCAGGTCTAGATAGACAGACACTGCTCTGTTCTTGTCCTTTCACAGCATCTGGAGCTTGAGTTCCTGAAAGCATATCTTATTTAGTTACTTTAAGGTACATATCTACTCTACCTTCTGCCTTGCATATTTGAACCATGCACAGTCAACATTGACTTCAGTGTCAAAAATGGTTGTTTATTCCCTCTACATGTCTCAAGTTAGCCTCTCAAAATCAAAGACAATTGAAGTTAAAGGTTACATAATGAATCACTGGTAGAGTCAAGAACAGAATATTTGGCTTCCAGCCTGAATTCTGTATAAATTCCCAGCATGTCAGGTAAATGGCCTGAGTTCACTGCGTTTCAGGGAGTGGGTAGTTCTTATTTTCTAAAATGAGAAAATGTTTAGTAGTAGAATGAGTTGTTCTGAAATTAATTGAAAATCACCTTGAATATTAAGGCTGTTGATACTCAACATTACTATTTTTATATATTTTATATCATTTTTCTCTCTCAGCTGTTCATTTACAGGAATTTGCTCTTAAGAAGTTAGAACAGGTGACCTCAGCTGCGGAAGAGAAGAAAAGGGCTAATGGTGCAGAAATGGAAGAACTAACCCCTGCTATACCTTTAGAGGCTACTGCTGAATATGAATCAGATGTAGCTGATCCTCCAGGAGGAGGTGGTGAAAGGATGCAAGCAGAGAGATCCAAGCTAGAGAGAGGACATGAGTCTCAGGATGAATCTAATAACTTTCCTGATAAAGAAACAGGTTCTGGAGAACACCACCATCTTCATCTTTCAAGCTGTCATGAGTGCTTGCAACTTGAAAGCAGTACCATTGAGTCAGTAAGATTTGCCTCTGCAGAAAACATTCCAGAACTTCCTGATGATTGCAGTGGCAGCTTGGAAGAAGTTACTGATGACGTTCTGGCAAGAGACATGAAAAGAGTAAATCTTAGTGGGAAGCCTCCTAACATTTTGGTTTATGTGGGATCTGACTATATGAAAACAAAATTTGAGCAGATAGAATCAATCCTCAAGGAATGCATTGATCCAGACAGCTATGTAATCTACCCATTGCTGGAGAAGCAAATTCTGAAAGCTCCATGGCTTGATAACTCTTTGTTGTTGGTCATTGCCACAGAGGAACCCATTTCTGAGGACAATCATAAACAATTTCTGACCTTCTTGTCAAAAGGTGGAAAGATTTTAGGACTTTCTACCTCTTTTACTTTTGGCAGTATAAAAGTGAAGAGAAAAAATGAACTGAAGAAGACCATCCATGAACTGGTGTTCTTTAAAGCAGACAACACAGAAGTTAAATTAAACCTTCTGACCAGTGGCAGTGTTTTTGAGGAGGATGTTCAGGAAGATATCAAGAGAGCAAGGCCACTGAGTCGCTTAAATAATCCAGATAAAGATATAGTTATTATTCACCTGACTTATGGAGACATTAGAGGAGAAGCCATTCTTTGTCAGGTATGAAGTGTATTAAGACCTAACTTACTTTTTTGCTGTAACATAAAAGAATTGTAGTGCTGAATTTCAATGGATTTTTCCATTCAAAGCTATTTTTCGGCCTCTGTACTCTACAAAGGAAAAGCACCCTTCTACTGTATTTGCTCAAATACAAGATGAGATTCTCCCCCCAACCCCCAGCCAAAATCAGCATAGGGCAAAAACCTCCTTGTCTTACAGTTGCATACAAATAAAATCATTAAATACTAGAGGTTCACTGATACATTGGTCCCATTTTGAACTGGTACCAATGTAAGGAAAATTGACAGTATTGGCAGTCCCCTTTTTTTGGCTGATGTGGCTGATGATGTCACTGATAAGTGCCGTGTGCATGCACGCAGCTGCAGCATAGCATGCAAGTGGCCAGGAGCGCAGCCTGGCAATGTGGAGAGCAGCTAGCTCAGGTTGGTAAGACTGTTGTGAGGGAAGGGCTGTGCGGGTGGTGCGGCAGATTGAGGCCCCTGTGGTGAAGGAGGCAGTGGGGCTGGGGCTTGGGCAGGCACTGCACAGCAGGGGAGGAACAGAGCTGCGAGTGGCTCATCAGATGATGTGGGGGGGTGGGGCTAGGCTCACCCTGGGACGGCATGGATGGCATGTGTACCTGGATTTGCGTATGGGGCGATGGTGGGCTGCCGCTGCAGGCTGAGACTGGGGGTGGCGACAGGCTCTTCCTGGCAGGGGGCTGAGTCAGGCTTTGCTTGAGGCAGGCAGTGGCAGCGCTAGGAGGGGGATTGCAGGGAGGGGTGACAACCATCCCAAAATTTGCCATAGCCCCCCAGACCCTCACTCCCAGCATTGCTGCTGCCCACCCCAAGTGCAGCCCAGCCCTGCCATCAAGACTGCCCCGGCCCCAAGCTACCCTTGCCCCAAGTGCAAATCTGGGGGCACATACCCTCCCAGGGTGCATGCAGTGGTGGGAGCTGCCCCCCTTCCCCACGTCTGTGTCCTGCACTCCACCCTAGCTGTGCAGCACCTGCCCCAGCCCCAGCCACAGTCCCAGCCCACTCCCTCCCTCACTGCTTGGGCCTCAGCTTGCCCCCCCTCCCCCACACCCCTTCCTTCATCCCTCGACCCTTCCTTCCTCCCTCGCGCCTTCCCCCCCAACAGACTTACCAGCCAGGCGCTGCTCTCTATGCTGCTGGGCTGCATACTGGCAACTAGATCGGTATCAGACAACATGGCTTGTTAAAAATCGGCCATTGGTATTGGCCCAAAAAATCTCTGTTGGTACACCCCTATTAAATACATTGTCTATCATTAAACTGCTGCCAAGCAGCATGTGCTCAGTAATAGAAACCAACTAAATAGATTAAATGCAGGCAACACTGAGCATGACTATATAACATATGACCCCCCTATGAGGTAAACATACAGATGGGAACTTTTTTATTATTATTATTATTTGCAAATTTTATTTAAAACACACTTTTCACCCTGCACTTGCAAAGCTTTACATATTGAGCATTCTTGTTCTAACAACATTTCATATTGCAAACACTACATATCCAAAAACATACAGCTACATGTATTAAACTCTTAAACAACATACATCAGCGTCCTCAAAAAAACTCATACAGAACTTTTTTCCTTCATATAGAACCCCATGAAAAACAGTTACCTCAGTAACCACCTGAAACTCTCCACCCCTCCAATCAGTCCTCTCTGTTGGTTGAGTGAAACAAGTATGTCCTGTCTTTTTTTTTTCTTCACTTCTCCACTTCTTCTCTGATCTCTTCCTAGCCTTGATTGATGTAGTATTTTAGTTCATGCAGCCCTAGCTTCAGGCCCATTCTTTCAGTGAAAGTTGACTCCTTAAAAACTCAGAGGTTTCTTACTTTCCATAAACTAGTTTTAATACATGCTAATAAAGTCCTTAATAGCATTTCCTCCAGTCTCTCTGGTATGAGTCCATATAGTACCATCTCCCGTGCTATCGGTTTATTTCGGTGACACTCAGAAAGTGGCGGATTCTTTTGCACCTCCTTTGTTATACGTACACTCCCAAAACACGTCTCATGGTTTCTTCTTCCCTGCACTTCTCCATTGGGCACCTTGATGAGCTCATCAAGCTTTATCTGTGTTGCATCTCTCTCACTGGCAAGATATTTCTTACAGCCATCTATGATAGGTCAGCATGTTCTCCTTTTAGTTATTTACCCACCACTGCTCCCCACACCTTCTTTACTTGTTCTTCTGTGAAGTTTCCCTCCAGTGCCATCCTGTCTCTTTCTCTTACTGCTTTCATCAATTTCTTACTGTCTTTCTGGACTGCCAGCCCTACCTTCCCTATTTCTGTATGAAACCTTCCATCCTGATGCAATGAATCCATGGTTGCCACACCCATAGACTCTTCAAAGAGGTTTGATATATTCCTCATTTCCTCAAAATCTCAGCTGCATGAAATCCAGTGATAAATACTGCTTTCCTCTTTCCCTCTGATACTGCCATGCATACGCATTTACATAGTTGGCATACATGAACAATCCCAAGTCTGGCAGCCCACATCCCCCAATTTCTCTTGCTTTGTACAGTTCAGCACTAGCCAACCTTTCTCTTTTGGCATTCCATAAGAACACACATTTTCCTCTGTAGTTTTGCTATCTGTTGCCACATATATAGAATAGTTGGCAGTAACCCAGCCTTAACTGCCACCACTTTTCCAGCAAAGAACAGCATTCTTCTGGACCATAACCAAAGTATTTGGTGTATCCTTGCCATCACCTTTTTCCATGCTGTATCACCTTTCCCCTCAGCATCCATCCTAGGATCTCCCCTAACACTTTTAATTTCTCTCTCTCTTATTTGAAACCCCAACTTCTCCAAGTCCCTCCAGTTCTGCACTCCTTTTGATCTGTTTAGTTTAGTTCCCATCACTTCATACTCTGATGTATGCTTTAGCACCCTTTCCATAGAAGGTTGATCTCTAACTACTGCATTCATATTATCCATGTATAATATGCATTTTACCTCACCCCCTCACAGTATCTTTACTCTGCTTATGACCTTGTCTTTTCTTATTCCTTGTGCTAATGTTTCAATGCCACACACAGACAGTGGTGATGCGGCACCCTTGCCTCGCTCCTGTATGGATCTTTAAGGTCCCACTTAGATGATCGTTAATTTGGACTTGACTCTGCTTCTCTATACAATAGCCTTATTCAACACACAACTTTCTCTGGGAACCCCATTTTCCTAGCACTTCAAATATGTAATCATCATGAATAATGATCCACTCTGTCACATACTTATTCTAAACCTAGGTTTGCCATAACTGTGTTTGTGTTCCTGTCTTGGATGTGGGACAGTGTATCCGATCTCTCTAATCTTTTTGAAGATCCTTTTACCTGGTACTGTGCATACTTGGTCTTCATGTATTGTCTTCTGGAGGTTTTTCCTCATCCTGAAAGTCAGTGTCTTGGCCATTAACTTATATTCCATATTAAGGAATCTAATCAGTCTCCAGTTTTTCAAGAGTTCCTTTGCCCCTTTCTGGAAGAGTAAGATCACAACGCCTATTGTAAAATCTTTTCCTGCCTCCCCTGTTTCCGCTCTTTCCTCAAAACTTCCACTCTATCCCTCTCTACTTATCCTCAAAATTTCTCATAAAATGTCATAGGTCTGCTTCTGGTGATCTCCCTCTTAAAGGTTTTTAAACACTCCTTGACTTTCTTTAAGCTTATTTTTTCTTCCATCTTTGCTTCTTCCTCCTCTACTTCTGTTCAGTCTCTTCCAGCAAATCCTTCATCTTATTCCTGTCTATTTCCTTCTTCTGATATAGCTCTTCATAAACTCTTCACATTGCATCTAACACCTCCTCCTGCTTTTCCACCTAGTACTGCCTTCCCGAACTGCTTTTAATTTTCCTTTTGCTGTCTTCACTCTAGCCAAAAAGTGTAAGGATCACTCTTCATTTTCTGCCACCCAGGGTGCTTGTGCTAAAAACATTTTTCTCTTGTCTTTCTTTTAAACCAGCTTTCTATCTCTTGCTTTGTTTCTTCTAGTTCTTGTTGTACCTGTCTTCCTTCAGCTCTTTTTAGGAGCTCCTGCAAATTTTTATAGCTCTCTCAGATCATTCGTTCTTTTCCGTTTTTGGCCTGCCTTCCTTCCTGAAGAATTATCCCGTCCTCTTCTTCATCATCCACCATTCTCTGATACTCTTAAAAATATTTCTTTAGTGTTCTCCACCTCTTATGCTGTCTTGTGTACCTTTGACATACCTCCTTATCTTGTAAGAGTTGCACATATAAATTCCACACACCCCTTTTCCTTATGGGGCTTTTACCAAGACTCAGTTCTGTGTTCAGCATCTGGTGATTAGTAAATGCTACACGTATGGTTTCTTTCTTCCTTATCTCTATTTCTTTTGATACAAACACAAAGTCAGTTCTTGATTGTTCCTTTCCACTGGAGTCAGTTCTGATGAAAACTTTCTCCCTTGCCCACACATCTCATAATGACTTCTTAATTATATTTGTGACAATCTGGATAAACTGTCTAAAGTTCTGCCGCCTCCTTTCCTTGTTCTGTCACCTCCTTCTGTTATGCAGTTGAAGTCCCCCACTATTATCAGTGGTCTCCCTCTGACCACATAAACTGCTTTCTAAACAGAGCCTTCCTCCCCTCACTCTAGTGATGCCTATACATTGAAAACTTCTAATTCTGCTCGCCTGGCTGATGTTATCATTCGCTTCAGTCTACCACTGATGTCTTCTGCCTTCTGTGCTTCCACCTCTGGGTTCTTGAATAGTATTGCCACTCCAGCTGCTTTGTTGTCAATTGTCCCTGACCATCAAGACAGTCCCCACTTCTGCCTCTTCTCAAAACATTTATAATCCCTCTCCCTCAGTATACCACATTCTTGTTGGTAGATCATGTCTGCCTTCGCTTGATTTAACATTGGTTTGACCTGTTCACATCTCTTCCTTGTTTAGACATTCCTGACATTTAACTGAAGCTATAAT